CTAAGCACTAATAACTATAAATAAACGATTTATCACTGTTAACACTAGCATCATTATAGCTAAACAAGTTAGTACTGTCAGAATTAAGACAGAAGACGGCTACATAAATATTAATGACGTAGCGTACACGCTAGCCTGTATAAGTAACCTCTTATCTCTCGGCTAATTAAAGTCAAATAGAGTGAAATATATAGATATAAATAACTATATAGCACTTGTTATTAATAAAGAAATTATTGCTTACACAACTCTTAAAGACAACCTTTTCGTACTTAATAGCACTTACGCTGCTATGCTAATGGCTGTACAAGGCAGACCAATATTCAAAACAGCTAAGAATCTATAATAGTAACTATAGCATCATCGACTCGGCCACGCAAGCCATGTTCGAGTTGCCCAAGCTAGCAGGATGTCTACTAGCATGGATCTAGCCACTTTAGACATAGATCAGGCTATCTTTGAGCTAGATCTGGCTATTTCTGGAACAGAGCTAATTGAATAGCAAGAGGACAGTCAAATCTGTGAGCCCTGCGTCAAGAGTAAGCAGACGCGGATAATTTATTATAAAGGAGGACAAAAGACCACAAGGAAACTTGAATTAGTATACTCTGACTTGTAAGGACCTTATTACCCTGCCTTCTTCCGCAGCAAGCATTATGCTATAGTGCTAGAGGACGACTTTACAAAGAAGAGTTAGATAGGCTTTCTAACACAGAAGTCAGATATGTACAAGTACTTCAAGAATTAGCACGCTATAGTAGTAGCTAAATCAGAGTATCCTTTAATAGCGCTCTAAGTTAATAAAGAGAGAGAATTTATAAGCATTACCCTTAAGGACTACTACAAGATAAAGGGCATATTCATTAGCTCCTTTACGCCCTATACCCTTAAGCATAATAGTAACGCAGAGCAAGCATAAAGAACTATTTATATAATAAAGGACTTAATACTAATTAATAGTGGCCTGTTAAATCGCTTTTAGGCTAAGGCTATAAATACTGCTAATTATATCCAAAATCGACTACTAGTAAGAGGAATTAAGACAACTCTTAAGTAGGCTTAAACTAGCTAAATACTTTATCTTAATTATTTACAAATATTTAGCAGCACTATTTATACTTATATTCTTAAAGAGAAGCAACAAAAGTCTGATATTAAAAAGACTTAGACTAACATTCTAATAAGGTATATATCAACTATAAAGCAAATCTGTATATAAAGTTCTATACAGCAAAACGCTTATATTATTTTAGTATACTCTATTAATAAAAGACGTAAGAGAGCTAACCTCCTAATATAGTACTCTCTGCCTCCCCTTATAAATACTCTGCAGAGAACGTACATAAAAAGAGCATAACTAAATACTCTTAAAAAGAGAGGTAGGCTTTAAAAGTAAGTTAATAATGCTATAGATCTACTTAATTCTATACCCTCTTTAGGAGGAGAATTAATTAAATAAGACTAAGACATATCTAAAAGAATTAGACTAAGTAAGTTAAGTACATAGTTAGTAAGAGAACTGTCTGCTATAAAGCGGTATAGGATAAGTGAGTAATAGCTATAATAGCTCTCTAGTTAGGCAAATAAGTCAGATATAAAGGTTATAAAAGATCCTGTTATAAGTTAGAGAATCTTTATAAAGGTTATAAAAGATTCTATTATATTAAGACAATTCGCTCTTATAATAAATATAATAAAAGGCACTTGTGAAGCCTAAGACGCTAAGGCTGCTAGTATTATAGGAGTCACCTTAGTATTAAAAGAAGTATATTCGGGTAAGAGGAGTTTTAGTATACTTACAGGCAGAGAGAGAGCACAGCTAGGCTATAATAAAGTAGTATAGTTGGGTAAGCATCCTAATATATTTATAAAGGCTATAGAGGCAGAGTAGCCTAGCTATTCTAAAGACTTAGACAGAGCAGCTAGAAAGACTATTAATATAGTAGATGTTAGTAAGTACTCTAGCGTAAGAAAGAGTTTGCTATTAGTATACAGAAACAAGGGTTACTCAGGGCTAGATAAGCTAAGAAAGAAGGGCTATTTAGGGCCAGATAAGCTAAGGACCTACATATAAGTGGTAACAGACTCTGTATATAGTAGGTAATAGAGAGATGCAGTTAATAAAGAACTACAGAACCTGAGCACCTACCAAGCCTAGAGAATTAAGAGGCTGCTAGAGGGCCGGAAGTTGGTAGGGTGCAAATAAGTATTCAAGATCAAGAGAAATAAGAATGGCCAGCTAGCAAGATACAAGGTATAGCTTGTGGCACAGAGCTTCTTATAGATTCATAGGATTAACTATAAGGAGACATTTGCTCCTACTGTCAGAAGAGAGTCTCTTAGAATGTTTCTTGCTATCGTCGCAACAAAAGATATAGAACTATACTAGATGGATATAGTTGCCACTTATCTAATTAGTAAGTTAGGAGAAAAAGATAAGCAGATATTTATACAGATCCTTAAAGAAGTATTACTCAGAGAAGAGCTAAATAGAGACTAATAAGTATATAGAATCGTTAAGAGCCTGTATAAACTCAAGCAATCTATAAGGAAGTAGAGAGAGAAGCTTGTAAGCGTCTTAAGAGCTAACAGATATAGCACACTAAACAGAGATCTAAGCATACTGATATCCAGCGATAAAAGAACAATTATCAGTATATATATAAATAATCTGCTGTTAGTAGCAAAGGATCCAGAAGCTATCTGCTAAATTAAAGCCCTTCTCTAGCAGAACTCTAATACAAAGGACCGTCCTCTTACACTTGCTGTTCCAAGCAGATTAGACCACCGCCTTGCCCGAAGCATCCTCTGCAAATTACAACTCGAGCCCCCAACGTGGCCAGATTTCAAATTTGAGCTGTTGCCGCTTCACTCGCCGTTACTGAGGCAATCCGTTTATAACTTTAGACAAAGAAGAAGATATAGAAGAGACTAATATTCAGGCGTATTAAATATTAATTAGAAAGTTACTATATCTAGTATATAACATAAAGGCTAAATATTAGTTTTTATATTAGCTATTTAAGTTAGTAATACACAAATTTATATATAAGACACCTTAAGGCTGTAAGAAAAGTCTTATAATACTTTAAAGAGATAGTAAAGATAGGCCTTAAGTTCAGAGTTAATTATATTATATAAAGTACTCCTTAAAGGAAGCTATAGTTATATAAATACACAGATGCTAGCTTTATAGGAGATCTAGATAATAGAAAGTTAATAACAGGCTATCTATTTCTACTAGATAACGCAGCTATCTCCTAGACATCTAAGAGACAAAGGATAATATTAACATCTAGCACAAAAGCAGAATATCTAGTTATTAGAGCAATAGCAAGGCAGGCTATATAGATTTAACGCCTCCTTAACGAATTCGGAGTAGAGTAAGTAATAATAATACTTTATAAAAATAACAAAGGCTACTTAAAGTTAATATAGAACTCTAAGTAATATAATTAAATAAAGTATATTAATATCTAGTATTACTATATATGCTAATTAGAAGAAAAAGGAGAAATTTAGACTTCCTAAGTATTAATAAAGGATATACTTATTAATAGACTTACTAAGGCACTCTCTAAGGACGCCTTTATATAATTCTGAACTAAGATAGGTCTTGTTCAAATCAAAGAATGCTAATATAGCACTATTAGAGAGCGCTATTAACGCGTAGGGATTTCCATGCCATAGTACAGGGAATCTGGTCACATAAATTTGGCTATACAGTACAGCCAAATCCTAGATTCGCAACTACGCAATTATATAAGTTATTTAGATGCTGTTTTCAAGGCTGTAACATCTACAGGCCTTGATAAAGTGCCCTGAATAACCTTAGAGCATATAGCATCGTAAGGAGGACTATAGGCGGAAGCGTAGGCTAATACTGCAGGCAAATAATCAGACAGGTATAACCCTCTCTCTAAACTGCTAACTTAAGACAATTAGGTACAGTTTGAGCAGAGAAGGAGAGCTGCACAAGTTAATTACTTACAATAGTGTGTATAGCTGTTTGTAGTAGGTGCGGCTTGAACAGCAAGGGGAGTATTGAATTGCTGCTAAGCCGCTAGCCTAATAGTCGTTACATAACCTAGGGCTATGCCGGAACAGGCATAGCGCCACCAGCCACCAGAGTAAGATTGCATTTGAACTTCGGACAGGAGTTGGATATAACTCCTGGACAAGTTACTACATCCACCAATAATTATTATTTTTATAACATATTAAGTCTGATGATTTAGTTTATATAATACTTTTTTTTTTAATCTTTTACTTAATTATTATTATATAGTCTTTTTTTATTTAATTAAATTATATAGTTGAGCGATCATTCTTTTCATTTCATTTCATTTTTTTTTTCTCTTCTCTCCCCCTTTTACTCAGTAACGTGTGAAGGAAAAACAAAGCAATCGAATCCGCCAGCCCTGTACTAAAATCCGAACCCATGATCTCGACTTCTCTCTGAATTTTTTTGGTGTGAGAGACGCTTCGAAGAGCTGGAAGGGAGTCGAGTCGTGGGTACACAGTGTCAAAGGGGGGGGATTTCCTCTTAGAAGAATACTAACTAGTGATGATGCTTTGATGTGTGGAGGGCGCCTTGTTGAGTGGGCTGCAGCAGGGTCGCTCGGGGATTGGACTGGAGTCACACACACACACTCACACACACATTGTGAATTGAACTATTTATGCATCATTATCGCAGATGACATATCGCAGATGACATATCGCAGATGACACCTAGTTGAGAGAGAGATACCGAAGATTTCTCGCTAGTGGGGGTGTAATGTACACATCGGCTGTGTTTCTCTTTTACCGGCTGTACAAATGATAGAATGAAGCAATGCCCATGTGTGGATCCGAAACACGATCATATCATAATTCAGGGGTGATTTGATCATACAAAGTTGGCATGATGCATCACCTCATTAATTTCCCCTTTCCCCTTTCCCCTTTCCCCTCACAACAGCCTTCCCAAGCGAGGAAAAGTAGAGAAATCTGGCTTCTCAATCAATCAAGAACGGTCTATCATCCTCTCTCCTCCCACGAGCGATCTCCTCTGCTGATAGGACGGTCCACTTCCGGACCCATTCGTCTGACACGTTAGAAGTGTCGACCTCAACCCGGAGACGAGGCAGATCGTTGTTCTTGCTCGCAGATGATTGCGGAGTCTCCAGACTGAATTCTGGATCCTCCTTCTGCAACGATTCTGGCAAGGGGAAAATGTCTGTGCGTTCGAATTCATTCCGAGGAGACTGAAATGGTGTGGCTGAATCCGGAGAGGTAGCCTCGGCTGGGGCAGTGACAGGTCTCTGCCGACCTCCAGAGGCCATTTCTGATTTACTGGGCGATTGTGCCGTGGCTGGACCTCGGTCTGTCACCTTTTCCGGCACGGTTGGAGGCGCATCCTCGTACTTGATATCCACCGGCATTTCGCGGATGAGCTTCCGTAATCTTTGACCCTCTGCGCGTTCTCGAGCCTGATCCCAACCGATGCCGCTGTCTGAGCATTCTTTGGCCAGTTGTGGATATATGACGGTCAACATCTTCCGTATGCTTTGACCAGATTCCAGCTCGACGAACTCTGAGCCTTCTATTTCCAGTACTCTGAAGGTGTCCTGCCATTCTGTCGAGAAGGAGTTTTTCTCCAGCCAGGCGAGTACCGCTTGCAAGGGCCACTTGGTGGTGGCTGGCCGAGAAATATTGACTTTGGTTGCTGGCGGATGACTCCCTAAAGGCGAAGGTAGTCCAGCGGACTGAGAACGCAGTCGGCTCTGCATGGAAGAAATGTGAGGGGGAAGAGGAGACTTCTTTTCGGTGTCTTCCTGCGCAGTGAGTGGTGGTGTTATAGGCTCCGTTGTGCCCCGCACAAGGGTGATGACCGGAAGCTTCCATAATATATTATCTATATCTGTATTAAAGAGGAAGATCAGGAGCTTATAAAAGGATATATATTAGTAAAAGAAGCGTGAGACATACTAAGAAAGAAATATATAAAGACAAGACTATTAATAAACAGACATTACTTACAGCAGTACATTAACTATTACAAGCAGCCTAAGGAAAGTATAGAAGATGTGTGAATAGAGATTTAGCGCTTAGGAAGACGTATTAAAGCGACTAATAACTTACTTAAAACATTTACTATATAATACTAGATGTTCTAATAGCTTCTTGCTTCTCTTCCTCCGGAATATAATACTATACAAGATACTATTAATAATTAGGAAGAGCATCTCCTTAATATTAAACCTCTTATATAATAACTCTTTAAGAAAGAATTCTTACTAAATAATACTCTTGTTGTCTTTAGGCAATATTATTATTCATTAATAAGGTTCTAGTTATCCTCTAACTAACAATTATCTTAAAGATTTATAATACGTAAATGCTACTTCTACTCTTAAGAAGGCATAACCTTACCTCAAGAACGTCTACCATAATAGCTAAAATGTTTTGCCTATTAAGAAAATTATAAATAATAGAACTGCCCTTACATTAAGGAGCATATAAAAGAGATTAGGGAGATTATTAATAGAGCTTAAGCAAGCTTACCCAAGAGGAATAAGCTAAAGGCGAGAGTAATTAAAGAAGAGAGTATAAGCGTAAAAGACTTTTCTTCTAACTTTAAAGGCAGAGCAGAAGTCTATCTTGCAGCACTAGAAAAGCTAATCTATAGAACCCCTAAGTAGATTACTAATACTAGTGTATCTAACTATATAACTGACTAGCTTTCTTTCTTTAAAGGACTCTTAAAAAGAATTAAAAAGATAATAATGAATTTAGCAGACTTAAGATTATATATTAAAGGGGCAGGATATGCCTAAATACGTACAAAAAAGAGAGTAATAACCTTGTTAAATATATTATATATATTTGGTCTAGGTGCTAGCCTTTTCTTTGATTCTTTATTATATAAATCTAGGCTTTCTAATAGTTTTAATAAAAAGGCATTATATATATAAGATTAAGATAGTAATATAGTTCTTAAAGTAGTTAAATATAGAGGCCTTTATATTATTAATTAAATAAGTCCTAAAACTATAAAGACTATATATCCTGCTTAAACTATATAGATTATAGTTTGTAGTATCTCTTTTACGCCCTTTAATAATTATAATTAATAGTAAGTATAATAGATGAAGTATCTCCTCTGCTATAGCGTAAGAAAGATACAGGACTAGCCACGTACTCGGATAGCAGCACTTGAATAACAGTATTAATAGCGTATCTACAACGGTATACAGAACTCTTACTGTTAAGCTATTATACTGTCAATAAAGGCATCTGTACAGCACATAGCTCCTTATATAAGTACTATAGAACAGGAGATTAATATAACCTCTTTAAGGAAGTACAATCTTCTTTAGAGGGAAGCTACCGCTTCTAGCCCTGTAAATACTCTGTTAGATCCTTTATACAAGTTAATTAGTAGCACCCCTTGTGTTTAATAAAGAAGTATATAGAGTAGAGTGCTAGTCGTATTATAGATAGACTTCTTAGCTTATATTTTAGTAATCTATAAACTATTAACTTATTCTAGTTTTAAGCTATTATAGTAAACGTAAGCTTAATACTTACTTACTATCCTGAGAAATAATACAAAACTCTTTTATCTATAGCATAGCTATTAGAGAACTCATCTAGAGTTATTTAACTATATAAGAAAGTTATTACTCTGAGAGTAACACAAGGTTTATTTGATATAAACACCCTGTACTATATAAAGGTTTGAGAATTATTAAGTCAAGATGATTTATAATCAAATAAAGAGAAGGGAGAGTGGCAAAGTTTGTTATTCTTTCTTAAGCAACTAGAGACAGAGCCTAGACAAAGCCCCTTCTACAAATTAAGACGCCCTGCGCGTATTAATTAAACACACAAAGAGAGTAACAAATAATCTATTAGCTCTTCTAGCCTTTATAGTACTAATTAATAAGAATCAGATATATATAGCAGTGTTTATACTAACATTAGTAGCTGCTTACAAAGAAGAAAAAGCCCTTCATCTAGAGAAGAAGGCTAAGTATTAAGAAGTCTTTTAAGAGAAGGAAACTTAGGAAGAAAGATACTAAGACCTTAATAAGAGCACTAGCATTGAGATTAAGGCTCTAAAGGATCGACTCTGTAATAAGGAAGAGATTATCTAGAATCTCTGTAACAAGATTACAGTGACTCTAAAGCTATAAGTTCAAGTAGAATCTTTATTAAGGACTCTAACAGAATAAGAGTCGCTGCCTTAAAGGCAGGCCTTATTAGAAGCGACTCTAAGCCCCTTAATAATGCTTAGTACAAAGACAGAAAAGCTGCTTTACCTAGAGATTTTTGAAGATAGACTTCTTTAGAAGTTTTATTCTTAATTATTAGCTATAAAGATAAAGTTTATAATTAATGTAATACTCTTTTTAACAGAGCTATTTAAGATCGCCTATATATAATTACGTATAAGTAGTAATGCTTAAGAATTACTTAAGTTATATTTTAAAGACTTTAAGAAGGCCTAGATTTTAAATATATTTATAAACCTTTTAACTTAATTTAATTCTTTATTTTAATAAGAGACTACTTATAAAGAGTATTATTACTTATAGTAAAGATAACAAGACCTTACTATATTCTTAAGGGATTTCTAATAGCTTTCTTATAAAGTAAAGGTCTAAGAAGAGAATTAGATTATAGACCTTTAAGACAAGGTTTAAAATAATCTAAAGTAAGTAATTATTCTTTATAAATATGTATTAATTTAAGAGATAATTATAGACCTAATATATACTGATATAAATAATTAATATATTACCTTAAATAAACTAGTAATTAGTATTAATACACTAGCAAAGCCTTTAGTTCCTAGTACCTAATAGTCTGCTAGTAAACTAATAGCAAAGAAGAAGAAGCTAATACTTAAGCCACAATTTCCGCAAAATATGTCTATAGTAAGGTGCTATTATTATAAGAAAATAGGACACTATATAAAGAATTGCCCTTAGGCATAAGAGTAATTAGGAAAAGAGCTGTTTACTATTAAGACATTATAAGTAGGCCTAATAATGTAACTAAAGAAGAAGCTATAAGGATCCTTATTATAATAGTAAAGAGTAATTTTAAGGCTCTATTTCTAATTAATATTAATATTAGAAAAGGAAGAGAAAAATTAACAATATTAGTATTGTTAGATACAGAATATTAGTTAAGTATAATTACAGATTATTAATTAGCAGAACAACTTTATAAAAGATTATAAATTAATATAGTAGACTTAGCTAAACTTATTCTTATCTTTAATTTTACTAGTAAGATTTATTAATTTATCTCTTAGGCCTTTTATTTGCCTATATATATTAGTGAATACTAGTAAGGATTACAGATCTTCTATATAATAAAGGCTGTATACCCTATAATCTTAAGGAAGAAGTAAATAAGGCTATATAGCTATATTCTAGATCCTAAGAATTTATTAGTAAAGTTTATAAAGGATTATAATTATAAAAAGTAACTTATATTTTAGCAGAATTATAAGAGTCAGAGTAATAAGCCTAAGGCTAAGGAATAAGCAGCAGAAGAGCTAATAAAGAAGTTATGTAATAAATTTAGCTATATATATATAGCCAAATTCTAGGCTAACCTAATTAGGGCATTACTATTACAGATGACAAAGATTCTTAAGCGTTCTAAAATAGCCCTAGCTATTTTATAACCTTTATACTCTGTTAAGGTAAAGAAAACTCTAGGTAACAAGACAACTATAGCTACCACTCACAAAAGGAAGATTAAAAAGACTAGGGTAACCTAATATAGTACTAAGCCTGTGAGTATTACAGTATTTAAGCGATTATTAATTATCTCTAGTGCAGAAATATTCATTATTATAATAAAGGACATAAATAAATATATTAAGAAATAGATTTAATTAGAACTAGATCTGAAGAAGGTTCTTTTAATAGAATTTCAAGAATTTGTAAATATCTTCTTAAAAAAGGCTTCTAATACTCTTTTAGAATATAAAAAGAAATATAATTATAAGATTAAACTAGAAGCAGGTACTAAGCTGTTATAAATGTAGCCCCTGTGTAAGATAAGCCTAGAGGAGCTTAAAGTAATTAAGAAATATATTAAAGAGCATCTTAAGAAGGGGTTTATTAAACTAAGTATTATCTTATTTATATTACTAATTCTTTTAATACAGAAACCCTAAAGAGGACTTTATTTCTATATTAATTTTAGGGATTTAAATGCTATTATAAAGAAGAATAGCTATGCCATCCCTTAGATTAATAAGACTATAAGTCTTCTTAGAAAAGTTATAGTCTTCTTTAAGCTAGATATGTAATAGATATATTATTAGATTTATTTAGTAATTAAAAAGGATTATAAACTTATTATATTTAGTACTACTTATAGTAATTACTATTACAGGGTATTACTATTTAGATTAATCTCTGTACTAGTAATATTCTAACGCTTTATAAATAAGAAATTTATAAAGATGCTTAGAAAATTTATTATATTATACCTAGATAATATCTTGATCTTTAACTAATTAAGAAAAGAATATAAGTAACATATATAAGAAGTCTTATAGATTCTCTGCAAAAGTAACATTTAAATTAATATTAAGAAATACGAGTTTTATATATAGTTAGTAAAGTATCTTAGGTTAATTATAACTCTAAAAGGCATTTAAATAGATCTAGAGCGTATATAAGTCGTTCAGGAATAAGAGAAACCTAAGTTAAGAAATATCTATATAATATAAAGATTTCTAAGGTTTATTAACTTTTAT